GGTTTGACTCAAAGACCCCAACCCGATGTTACACTATTAGAGCATGACCCTCTAATTCAACTACCATGGCCAACGACCCAAAACTTCAAAAGCCCTCGATGACATCCACGACTAAACCTGGTCATCTGCATGTTACCCACGTGGAGGCAACATTCAAACAGGCAGGGTGAGTAAAACGATTCATGATAATCAATGTAGAAAATCAATATATAAAATGGCGTCATTTTCATATTCAACATCGTCATATTTATCAATGGACATCAAAGGCCACAACATCATAATTTACTCAAGATCATCTCATAAATGCAAATGCAACAAGAATCAATGCATGTGGTACCAATCACCACAGCTCGATGGACACTGGGCCATCAATCCTCCATAGATCCCCATTAATAGGATCGATTCTACTCGAGAACCGGAGTACATCAAAATACCTCACATCTGCACAATGGGATTGAAGTCAAAGAAATCAAGGTCCTGAACTGAAGTCCGGATGCACATGAATGCATGATGCACACGTCAATAATCATCCTCATAATAACATCATAGGTGCATGCATCATCATTCATCATAATAATCATCATCAAAAATCATGTCATCATAGAATCATCAAAACTCATGGAAATATCATCATAGTTCATCAATCATTACATCATAGGAATCATCATATAATCATGTACAAATCACATAGAATTCACAGTCATACTCATATTCATTCGTCAAAGAAATCACATCATCAAAACATCAAGGCATCGCTGCACAAAATCAGAATTTGCGAAACTCTACTACGTTTGCTAGCAAGTTCGATGTGCGAGTCTGGGGCGAGTTTCTTCGCTGTGCGAAGGATTCTTCGTAGTGCGACTCTGGGACGAGCTTCGTTCGCTGTGTGAAGTATTCTTCGTTGTGCGAAGACAGCAAAACGCTATTACGCACCAAAACCTAAAATCAACCCAAAAGTCCCACGATTCACTTTCCCAATAATCCAAAAACATCCCTGAATCACCCCTAAGGTCTTACGGCGATAAAGGCACAAAATCTACGACTTATTAGGCCAATCCCGTATCATATTCACGCTCTAAATCCCATAAATCCTTACAACTACACCACAATCATTAGAGTTCCTCATTATCAAATTTCCTTATAGGGTTAGACAAATGTCAAATCAGAGCTTTGGCCACGAAGGCCTAATTTCCTTTAACCCAAAATAAATCCCTACAGTTAAAATCTTAATAATAGATTTAGGCCATGAAGGCCAAATTCCCTTTATCCCATAATCAGCTTCAAACCCTTTAAACCATTAAATCGACCTTAAATACATTGAAATTACAGATTGAAAACAATGAAGGCAATACTCCCCATACCTTAATTGTCGACTCTAAGCCTTCTCAAATCTTTCAGAAAACCTTTCAAAACTTTTGCCTCAAACCTCCTCCTCTCAATTCTTTTCGCGGTCTAACAAAATGAATCCTAATCCCATCACAATTTCTTTTTTTGTTAAACCTAACCTTGAGCCTATAATTTGGGCTTTTCCAATATTACCCTCACTAATTCCTCCTAAATTGTCCAATTTGCCCTTAGTTAACTTATATTTATTTAAATTAATAATAATACTAATATATTTATATTATATACTACTAGCGTTCAAACGGGCACTCCGTGCCCGTTTGTCCGCTTTTTTTATTGCGCTAACGCGTGCAATTTTTTTAATGGTGTTTTTGACATATATTCCATTAAAAATAATATTACTTAGGAACATTTATAAAAAAAAATAAAAATATAATGATACATATTAACTTTAATATGTTGTAGTAATGTCTTCAAATCAATTTAATACTAAAAAAATATCTTCAGACCAATTTAACAATGCAAAAGTCAACTTAAAATTAACTTAATAATCTAAAGAGTAGAATGTGAAAATTAAAACTTATCAATAAATTAAATGTTACATAAAATAATATTATTTACATAATTAAAAAAATAAAAGTAAGAAGGCAACCAATGTATATTGTTTAATGTCTTAAAATTTTGATAATATCACAATGTAGAAATCATACAAATTATAAATGGATATAAAATAACAAAAATAAAATATTCACATATTTTACAATAAAAAATATTAATAATCTTACTATTATTTTTCATGCTCGATGTTCTGTTCAATAAAAAAATACATATTTAGAGAAGAAAATAATGTGGTAGCTGTTATTTATTTTTGTAACTTACCATTTTCTTATAACTTATATGTGGATGTTGCCACTAATATATGTTTCCTCTCTCTCTCTCTTTCTCTTTTTCTCACTTTCTCTTTGTCTCTCTCTAACTCTTTTTTATATCACTCATCAGTCTCTCTACCTCTCTATATATCCCAATCTCATTTGCACATGTCATTTATTTGTTCCTCTTTCTTTGTTTTGTTAAGTAGCTAATAACTGGTTATCATTAAACAAAAAATTATGATGAAAACATAAACACTAATACATTCAATCTTTAAACGATATTCAACCCTTAATATCATTCATAGCCTTAGACTTGACATTATACAAAAAGAAAACTATAAAACCTATATTTACCATTATTGTAATTTTATTTGTGAATGTGAGTCTTATAGATGACAAGATTAGAGATTAATCTCAATAACAACCTACACAATATAATTAAGTATCATATATTTTTTGATGCATTGATAATATATATATATATATATATATATATATATATATATATATATATATATATATATATATATATATATATATATATATATATATATATATATATATATATATATATATATATATATATATATATATATATATATATATATATATATATATATATATATATATATATATATATATATATATATATATATATATATATATTTCAAGTTTGTATTTTTGAGGAGTTGAATGGCGGTATAGTAAATGACTTGATAATTGATAAAATATACAGTGATATATAATGGTTTGTAACAACTCTAACTTTCTACAAAACCTTTTTTTTTAATATATTTATACCGTAGGTAATCACAAAGACACATTGACAGTATACACAATTCACACAATTCAAAGATTCAATAATAATGGAAAGAAAGACAAAATTGCATGTGAAAGAGAATTTAGATGAAATTAATAATTTATGAGAGAGAGAAAAATAACTTACAAGTGAAAGAGAGATAATTGTTTAGGAAGTTAAAGATAAGGATGATAAAAAATTGTTAAAGTTTTAAATTGAGAATGAAACAATTATTATTTACTAAATTTATTTTGTATATGTGATTGGTTTTAAAATAACAGTTAAAGGTCAAATATCTAACAAATATAGGTTAGTCCAAAATGTTATATTGTCTTTACCTATAGGTATAGATAAGTATAGATTAATGTTTACGTCAAATTGTAGAAATTATACAATTTAAAAATTGAGATATTATTTATATTTTAAAAATTTTGCAAATTACACAGGTAAAATTGAAACAATAATAGATAAAGATTCAAGAGAGGAAACCAAAATTTAAAAAATTTAATAAAAATAGTCATTGTTATTTGATCTAGAAATTAGAACACATTTTTTCTTTCTTTCATAAGAGATAATGATTCATTTTTCTTCTACAATAGAGAGAAAAATTAAAGTATTAGACATTAAAAAAATTCAATAATCTCAATTTTCAAACCCCAATTTCACATATGGATTTGTTTATGTAAAAAGAACAAAATAGTAAATGAAAATAAATAAAAATCCAAATTAAAAAATTAGATTGAAGAATTTAAATGCCCTAATAATGAACTCTAACAGAAATCATTGTGTGATTCACAATCCATATTATGGCATATGCAAATTGTAGATTTGTCTTTTCTACCACCATCATGAACATTGTCTGGATTCCAATTTTTCTCATGCAGTCTTTCTTCTTCTCTATTTTTTACTTCTACGGACCCAATGAGTTAGAAATGAAAGACATAACTTATAAGAAGAAGTTATTTAAATATAGTTTTTAATTAGAAGTTAAAGTGAGTTTTCTTTTCAAATAAATAATTATTTTGTACAATATTCAAATATAAAATGGAGGGAGTAGTTAATTTTTATTTGTGTAACTTCTAAGTAGTTTTAAAGGGTAAACGAGGAAAGAAAATAGGCTACACCAAAACAATGTATTGTCTTTATATATTGTTATAGATTATTTAAATAAATAACTTAAAATCCATAATTCTCAACATTTCACAATCATCGAAAATTACCAAAATGCAAATATTCTTATTTAAATAAATTAAATGAATATTTCAATAAATTTAGGGTGTTACACATTTAGTGTTTAGTTTACACATTTCGATTCTTATCATTCCATCTTTAGTTTAAGTATTTCAATTTCAATTACTTTTATCTTCCAAACCTTTTGTTCTAAGTCTTTCTAAAAATTCACATTGTTATTCTTCAACTATTACACTTCGATTTCAACAATAACATGTTCAAAGTTTTAAATGTACGTAAATATGTTTCTGAATATTTTTGAATTTAATCCCTTAACTATTAATAAAAAATTGTTTTATTTATTAAATTTTCAAGTAAACAAAATGTTATTCGAAGAACTTAAAATAATAGAATCTAAGAAAATGAAATTCTTTATCAATAACAAATCAACTATCATTCGGACGAATAATCCTATTTTCTTGAAATCCTAATTATTCCAATAAAGATGGGAGAGAAAACTTAATAGGGATATAGTGGACACAAAGTTACAAAGATACTCAGATTTAACGGTAGTAAATGAGTACGGCATTAAGATATTCAATTTCAATGACTTTATTTGAAGGAGAAACCAAAATGATTTTGTCATCTCATAGCAAAACAATTTCAGAGTAATGAGTTCAATATCTTTCTCGATCAAGAGTCAACACTGCTTATAAAATCATCCAAATCCTCTTGCATTGGAGGGGGAAGAACACGCACATTCATCTCTTTCCAAACCAAATATCAGGAAGTGTTATTAGCTAATCGAAGTCGAAATGGAAATTGAAAAAGAGATTCCAACCTCATTCTGCAAAGACATTCCCAATCTCCTTTCTTCTTTCGTCGATACCTTCGTCGACTTCTCAGTCAGCGGCCTCTTCCTCCCACCACCTCCGCCGCCATCTCCGCCGCCCACCAGACTCCCCTCCTCCAAACGCCTCATCGCCATTGGCGACCTCCACGGCGACCTCAACAAGTCAAAACAAGCGCTACGCCTCGCGGGATTAATCGACTCCTCCGACCGCTACACTGGAGGCTCCGCCACTGTTGTACAAGTCGGCGACGTCCTCGACCGCGGCGGGGAGGAGGTCAAAATTATTTACCTTCTGGAGAAGCTGAAACGCGAGGCAGCTCGTTGCGGTGGAATCTTCATAACGATGAACGGAAACCATGAAATCATGAATATCGAAGGGGATTTTCGTTATGTAACGGAACCTGGGGTGGAGGAGTTTAGGGTTTGGTTAGAATGGTTCCGCGAAGGTAACAAGATGAAGAGTCTCTGTCATGGTTTGAAACCGCCGAAAGATCCGTTAGAAGGTGTTCGCGTCGAATTTCGCGGCGCAAATAAGGAGTTTCATGAAGGGTTTTGCGCTAGGGTTGCAGCTTTGCGGCCAAACGGCCCGATTTCTAGAAGGTTTTTTACCGACAATGTAACTGTGTTGGTTGCTGGCGAATCGATTTTCGTTCATGGTGGTTTGTTGCCAGAACACGTTTCTTACGGGTTGGAGAAGATTAACGCGGAAGTAAGTGATTGGATTAAAGGTTCGACTGGCCGGTTTTCACCACCTTATTGCCGTGGGAGGAATGCCGTTGTTTGGCTTAGGAAATTCTCTGATGAGGTTGCTGTGAATTGTGATTGTTCAACTCTTGACCATGTTCTGTCTACTATTCCTGGTGTTAAGAGAATGATCATGGGTCATACTATTCAGATGAATGGGATTAACGCGGTTTGCGATAACAAGGCAATTCGAATCGATGTGGGCATGTCGGACGGATGTGGTGGTGGCTTGCCTGAGGTTTTGGAAATCAATGAGACTTTTGGAGTGAGGATATTGACATCAAATCCGTTGTATCAGAATAAAGAAAGTGCTTCTGGATTTGATGTTGGGAGGCAGGAAGGTCTTGGATTGTTGCTTAGTGAACATGGTAGACCTATGCAAGTCAAAGTTAAGGCTTAAAGGCTTTTTAAGATAATGGGTTAGAGTTCAACATTGTTTAGATTAAAGGCAAATTTGCAATAAAGGTTTCTCCTTCTATTGGAGTTAGAGGTATCTCTTTCCTTTGCCTTATTGTTTAAGGATTAGTGTGTATTTGATTTCACATTAGAGAATATCAGATTAGGTTTAGACTCTTATCAAATGTTATTTTGATAAATATGTTAGCATTCAGTTACTATCAGGCTAGTATGACAAAATTGATTTTCTTACTGATGCTACTATCATACGTTATTTTGTAGTGGTTATTTTCTAATCATTATTCATTATTAATCGGTATATCTCTTACCGAATTTGGATTTTGAAGATTTGAATTTCTTACTGAAGATTAGGAATGATAGATACACTGATAATTAAAATATAGGTAGTTTTTTGATAGTGATGCGGTGGCCTATTTTTCCTTTCAAAATAGTAAAACATTATATGATAGTTACTTTAGAGTCTTTTGGAATCATATCAGGCCACAAGCAAGTAAAGATCATTGATTACCGGTTATACAATAAAGCTTTGGAGCATAATCTTTGTTAGAAGTTAGTCAATTGATGTTCCTACATCCAAGAAAAATCAATTTATGGTTCTACCAGTCTTATTTTTTCTGTGAAGTGCTGGAGTATTGTTTCTTTACGGATAGTAAAGTAACCAAGTTGTTAGCCGGCGAGTTTGAGATGATGACTACGCCACCATTTTCCTGAACTTTTTTATTGCTTTGTCTATCATCAACTTGTTTGCTGTATCAAATACTCTCTAAGTTTTGTCGGATGAATCTCCTTGGCAGTTGGCTGTGTAAAAAAATTATAATCTCATTAAAATAGAAAGGGCACCTTATGAACTAACTTAGAGGGTGGGATAGAGAATCAATGCTTTTGGGGAAATGGTTTTGATCAACCTTTGTCTTTAAATATGGAGGTTAAATTTTACTCCATGAATAAAATATCTAGTATTTAAAGTTCATTCAAGCTGGAGTGTGAAAAAGGTGATTTGTTGTGGGATTCTAGAGTTAATATAACACTAAACTAGCTTATGGTTTTATATGACGATCCTTAGTTTTAGCATATTTATGCACTTCAATGTTGTAATTTAGACGATTACCTCAACCATTAGAATGATTAGGACTTTGCCGTCGAATCTTGTCATGTTTGCATTTACCACATGCAGTCCAAATGAATCTATAGCTTCCAACAACTTTGAAAACCCGCCTCGCTTAATTTCACCGCACACCTTGATCATCAAATCTGTTCTGCGAACATGATTCACTTCTACTTGCAACTAAGAAAATGTTGAGATTATATTAGGTCCCTAAGACATGATGTAAGGAAATTCAGTTTCATCTAGGACTTTGGAAAACAATATTATTAAGTTATTATGCATATTTTATGTACCTCCATCTCTGTCTTTCTAATGGAATCAGAAGAACTTTGATTAAACTCACTGAGAGGTTGTTCTTTGTCTCCTTGCACCCTCATTTGTAGTGTGTTCTTTTTACAATCCTCAACATCTAAAACATCAACCTTTTCTTGAAGTTCAATCTTCTGCCTCTGCAATTCCTTTATGTATTCAATTGCATCATCAACAATTGCTGCTCTATCCATCTGCCAAAATTGAGTGCATTAGACATATAATGCATATTCGGACTGATATTGAGTTTGACTAAATCACAGTGACACTTTGATTTTTTTGAAGCTCCAAAATGTAACTTTTGTCAACATAGTTGTGGTCCACCGTAATTTTGGCAAACTCAACGTCAATTCAAACATACTCTAAAGCAAACTTACGAGTGAAAAGTATTGGATGCATGCTCTTAAATTACACAATATAGCTCTACCTTGGTTATATTAGGGACTAGAGACCTTAGAGTAAAAAGCCCCTTTTTAATTCTGCTCCTCCTATTCCTCTCTGTGTTAAGATTTTTAGCATGATACATTTCCTTTTTAGGCTCCTTAACAGTTCCTTCTTCATCTTCTTCATCATTTCCACAATGGAAACTCAAAGTTTTATTGTACCCCCGGCTTTTAACTTTTGGTATAGGAGATATTTCAACCAGATGGTGTAGATATTCATGCGGAAGCAAACAATCAAAGTTTGAATCAAATGATAAGTGTTCTGTTGAAGGATTAGATCCATTGGAGGGTCCTTCAATGCTAGGATTAGAGCTGCTATGGTTTTCTGCAGGCAGACCGGGAGTTAAATGGTAATAATGCTCATTGAAGTTCATATTGGTGTAGCTCTGTGCAGATATGACTTCTTGCTTGATAGAGACACAACAATGTGCTGATATGAACTCTAGGATGTTTATATCTCTTGGGATCTGAGAAAGATGAAGAATCTATCATCTTTAGAAAATTTTCAATCAGAGAGTAATGCTAATAAGTACTAAGATGTGCATCCTACCAGCTTTTTTGTGAAGAGCTCCACAAGACCACCCAAAATAGGGATCAAAACTTGAGTTTCAATTGAGTCCTGTCAAAACATTGATAATTTGATATATAAAGTTTATGATGATATTATTAAATAAGGTAAAAAAATTAACTTGATATATAAATTATATGATGATATTATTAAAAAAGGTTAAAAAAAGAAAAATTGATAAGAGTAGAATGAAAAATATTAGACAAACAAAGAAAAGTAATATAGTCAATTATAAGAAGCAAACTTTACCTCCTGGATAAACCAACTTGGTTGCTGTGAAATTGCAACCTCTCCATGAACACTGTTGATCAAATAGTTTTCTTTAATATTTCCTTCATTGGTTAAACATAGAAAACAGACATTTAATATATACAATGAGAGTGAAAAAGGACCTAGAATAAAGAGACATTGCAAAAGGAAGCTTTGCAAGAGCCTCGCAAGTCTTTGTCCTAACTGGATGGGGAAAGAGGGCATCCCTACAAATGGGAGCCATCTTGTATTTTTCAGCCATTTCCTCTTTGTTCTTCACCTTCTCAATGTTCCCTCCACAACAACAACAACCCAGCCACTCAATAAAACTACACAAGAGAAAAAATGGATCAAGACAACAACTATAAATGAATAACAAAATATGCAGTAATAGTGAAGTACCTAGTTGGGTCATTTCCATATTTCCAAACAACAACATAGTCCCAAGCTTCAGTCTCAATAAAGGGTCTAAGCAACTCAACAACATCCATGATACAACTCATTTTCTCCTCCTGTTAATGCACCTTTAGAACTTCTAATTTTTCAGTATGCTTTTTCTACATACACCTTTTGGCTGCCACTTTTTAAACTGTTTTTTCCCCTTCAATTTGAAGCACATGGTACAGGACAAGTTTAGTCATGTTATCAATTTGGGGTTGGTGTATCGTATAGCATCATTGATAATCAGAAGCATATCTTTTTGACAGTGGGAATATTGTACCTGTCAAAATGATTGGGGACCAGAAGTTGTTTTTGACTAACAACTGCTGGGCCATAAATTGCAAAATGAGAATAAACTTGAACCCTAATATAAAATTAGGGAGTGTATCATACATATCTACTTTTCTGATAGTATTTTATTTGTATTTTAGATGCAGGGAAGTCAGATGCAATAGCTCAAGTTAGAAGACACAACATCTTCCTTATTCATCTTTAAAGGATAAACTCTGGTCACTAAACTTATTCGGTTTAATCTTACTTTCTTTTTAACTTTACCTTAATAAGTTAGACATATTGCAAATTAAGTATATATTTTTAGTGTTTTTTTAATTGTAATGTGATTATAATATATTTCATACAATTAATTTTAAATGAAGTAAATGCAACATAAAATTAATTTTAATTGAAGTAAATGCAACATAAAGTTTATTTTTGTCCGGATACGTACATATAGGCCTTCGGTTAAGCTAAAACTTTTTGGGATTACTAATCACACCATATGAGAAGAAAAACACCTTATGAAAATCTAAAATTGCTTCTAAGATTTTGAAGATATATATTCGGAAATACTTTTTATCTCATTCAATGACGTTCCAAATGAGTCATATCATATTATATCAATGCATCTTCGGACAAATCCAATCAATTTATTGATTATTAGGCATCCTAGTTTATTTGTCAGAAATGCATTTATGAAGTTTATAAGTGGAAAATTGAAAATCTGTCATACCTTTGCATGTCAGTCATATTTAGAGATGCATTTTTGAAAATATCAAACATGTTTTTTAATAAAACAGTCATCTGAATGATCAGACCCCATACTCATTTTTGCTCGAAACTCTTCCATCCTCAATCACGATTTTCACTTCAAACTTTCATTCTTGTGTTTCATCGCATCAAAAGGAGCAAAAGAAGTTGAATTTTATAATCAGCTTTCTTAATCTGTTCATTCTTGGTTGGACCACAAATGTAGAACCCATGAGGATGTGATCAAGATCTTCCTTTTGGTCTTCAAATAGTTTGACCCTCTTGTTACTATCTTCGAGTTCTAGGGCTTCCCCCTTTCATTCTTCAGCTTTCTAATCTCTAAAGAAATTTGGCTCATACTAACCTTCAATTCGGTATTCTCCAATTCAAGCTCCTTAATCTTAGCATTAGGTTTCTCCACGTCCTCAGGCAATATAGGTTCTGGCTCGGAAACTGGAGGGAAGAAAGGCATCAAAAGAGCAGAGGAGCTTGATTACTTGAACCCTTTCTTTCACCCATCAGATATAAGACTCTTTGACAATTGTATTCCTCTTTTCAAATTCTTTCCCTTTTCTAACAATATTCTTCCAAGCTTTTCTGACCTTCTTCATGTCTTGGTTCTTCACCCCTATATCATATAAGATGAACGGTTCCAAGGCTTTAGTTTTGGAGGGAGACTCATAGCATAACCATGCTGTCTCAGAGATAGAATAGAGTTGTAGTTAATGTAATCCATATTCCCCCATAATGGAACATTAGGGAACTCCACAGTTCACGATAATATCCTCAGTCTCCCAATCCTTTATATACCAATTGATATGATTAGCGATAGGAGATCCTAGCTTTTCTGACCACTTCAGCTTCTTGGAAATGATCAGACCTTCCTTTTTTATATGCATCATTAACCAAGCATGCAAGAGACGAACACAATACAAGAGAGTCCCCCTTTCTTTTCATGACGATCATGGAGGCAGAACTAAACATCTGCTAATAAAAAGGGGACTGGATTACTAGTGAGAAATGTTTTCACAGTTACTTGGTCCACGAAGTTCTCCAGGGTTGGGAAAATAACTATCTCATAGATCAAGAGAGCAAAAACGACGTAGAAGGCGTAACACCCTTCTAAACCCCACGGAAAATATACGAATAATCAGAGTAAATTATCATGCATTTACAATAGGGTGTCACACATAACTTTCAAAACATCAAAAACCATCTGTCATGCTCATTAACACTTATAATAAATAATCATACTTCTCACAATTTCATTTTGCATGTAGCAGCGAATTCATTTTATAACATAATTCTCTTAACAGAATACTCAGATTCATCATATACTTCAACATTACTTATGCATCAAGGCCAACATCATAATATTCCCATGAATGTAAAAACATAACATAGAATACATAATGCATATCTAAAATATAAACCAAACGATCCCAGTGTTACATGACCAGAGCATGACTCGACCCAATATAACTAAATTACTAAATGGCTACACCAACAATGACCACGTAACTACGAGCAGCTCTATTCTCGATACCTGCACGATGTCAGATAAGACATCATTCCAGCAGAAGGGTGAGAAATATTATCATAATAATCAATGCATATAATTATATATCTACAATCTTAGAATACGCATAATCATCATTCTCACCACAAGTCATCCATATACGTCACAATGTATATACAAATATATGGATAATCACCAAGTATATATCCTCATACATACATCCACAATTTCAATCAATTCACCTAAACATACATATTATGTTTAATTTACCATAATTCATATAAACATATACAATAATGTTTATTCATTAATTCCTTAGTCAATATCATTCACAATTACACATTCACAATTCACATTATTGCACATAAACATTTACAATTATGTTTATTCATCACAATTCATCATAAAGTATATATATATACACACACACACACACACACACACACACACACACACACACACACACACACACACATATATATATATATATATATATATATATATATATATATATATATATATATATATATATATATATATATATATATATATATATATATATATATATATATATATATATATATATATATATATATATATATATATATATATATATATATATATATATATAACACCAAGCATATTTATCATGCATATATCCAAAGATCTCAATTCAACAATTCACACACAAGCATAGAATACACATATTCCACATTTTCTCACCACAATTCATTATCAACAACATATACCTCACAACGTTTATATAAACCAATATGGATAATCATCAAGCATATTTCATCATGCCTACATCCAAAATTCTCAATCCAACAATTCACGCACATATGCACACTTTCATACAACAATCACATATTCATCATTCTCAATTACACAAGTCATGTACATACACATATGCATAACTTCATACAACAATCACATATTCATTCCATGAGACTCAATGCAACTCAATGCAACTCATGCCATGTGGTACCAACACTTGTTATCATTTTTCGGTTTTTACATTTAAACCGGGTCCGTCCTCTAGACCGATAACAACAAAAGTCCATCCTCTAAACTTTCAAACCTACCCTTCTAGGTTTGGGACAAGTCACTAGTCTCCACGAAACTAGCAAGCATTGCCTCTTGACTAAATGATGCGTATGCAATCAACAACCATATGCACTTAAGACCGTTCTCGCATCTTAATCCCATGCATAGTCAAATAATTCATCACACAAGAATTATATCATGATTGCACACTCACACATCATATCAAAGTATTCATACTTTCAACATTATCACATTTATCAAGCAATGCACACATATTCACAATATGTTCTCATGCATTATTCACAATATTGCATACAATCAATATGCATTCACAATTCAATGCCATCACCACATTTTCAATCAATGCACACATATTAACAATATGTTCTCATGCATTATTCACAATATCGTGCCGAACGACAACGAACCTCATCATAAATCATCATGCATTTTTAATCAATTTAAACAATGCATATATTTGTCAAAAGACCATATTTATCAAGCAATGCACACATATTCACAATATGTTCTCATGCATTCTTCACATACAATCGCATAGAAATTATTATGCATTCACATCATCATGCCAGACGACAACCAAACACTCTAATTATTTAAGCCTCGCTTACTTAAAATAATTAATCTTGATTAATCGGTAAAATCAGTTAAAAGTAGGCTAAAAATAATATTTCTTTTCACCAAGTTATAGAACATATTATTAGCCTCAGTTTGATATAAAGAACGAAAAAATCCGATAAAAGGTGAAGAAGTTATGGATTTTCAAAGTTTTGAAAAATAACATTTTTCTCACACTTACAGTGTTAACCGGTTAACCCTTTCTGTTAACCGGTTAACACACCAAGATTTTCAAAATCCTGGCGCATTAACACTCCGTTAATCGGTTAACCCAAAGCGCTAACCGGTTAGCGACTCCAAAAACTCAGTTATTTAGGCATTTTTATACCGTTAATCGGTTAACCCAAAGCGTTAACCGGTTAACACCTGAAAATTTTGAAAAACAAGGTTACGGGTTTGTGCCCAAAACCTCCAAAAACCCGACCGATTTAATTATTTTCTCCTGATTAAATACCTACTCATCATTACCAATCATATAGTAACCATTTAGGATCATAAAACGCAAATTCTACGACTTCCGATTTTCATCCAAAATCTTAACCTCCAATTATCCAAAAAATGTCAAAACTCACAAATTCAACCAAATTCAATCAAACGAAATCCAATAATCACGGCTAAACATTACCCGACTAAAATACGCAATTTATTTCGAGTTTCATCCTCGAAAACATCGGTTTTTATCGATTACACTCATTTCTGCCCTAAAATGGAAAATGGAGAAAAACATCCAAACAATCCAAACAATCCATACATAATCATATACATTGGTAAGATAACAACATTTCACACCCTTACCTTGGTTAATCGGAAGCTAGAAGTCGTTCTGATGATTCC